TATATATATATATACTATTATTACTATTATTAGACCATGTGAAGGATCTTCTAGATATAATTGAGTCGATACAATGAAAGAAGCTGGCAAACTCGATAATGAAATCCAAAGGTTGTTTGGAACTATTAGTAAATCTTTCATGTAAGGGCATAGTATAATTAAAATCATCACACAAAATTCCTTTAAAAAACCATTTGGATCCAAGATTGAAAGCTTGTTTAAAAACAAATGTCATTTTATTTGGACCGATCATACATTGTTGCAAGAACCAAGTCAAACTTTTAGGTATATTGAGAAAGTGAAATAGTAATAGAAAATGTACCACTCATTGAATGGAACACATCCAGAGAGCACTTTTTTCTTTTACAGAGAAAATCACCGAATTTGTTACATGCTTTAAGAGAAGCCTAATTATTAATATAGTTGCCTCCAATGGATTGTAGGAACATTGGGAAAGTAATGATCAATTTTGAACATGTGTCCTAAAATTCCCTTAAAATCCCGTCTAAAAAAATATTTCTTTTGATTTTGGATGCTAAGCCATGAACAATCAAAGTTACAATTTTCATAAAAATTGTTTGATTTCAAGAGAATTGATCCATGAAAATCAAATTAAGCAACTAACCAAGAAAAAGGAATCATCTGATGTTAAAACATCACATGAATCCGCTAAATAGTTTGATAAGTCAGCTAGAGGATGTGATACAAATCTGTCAACTTGATTTGAAGGTAAAATATAAATTTATACCCATTAAAATTATTTTTTCTAATGTTACTGCACGTTGAGTGAATGAAAATATTTCTTCTGGGATATTTTTTGACAATTTTGGGTTTTAAATGCTCTGAAGAAATTCAACTATGAGGAAATGGAACTTTTAAGTAAATAAATCAGCATGGGCTACACTAATTGCATTTTAAGATTTTTTTTTAAAAGAAGAATTTTGTGTTGCAGGATTTTAAAATTGATTTGTGCAGGAGTCAAATAGACGCTTATGGATTGTAGAAGCAAGGTAAAACTTGAATGTGTTGACAACATTAAAAGAGGGGATTTAATGCCGAGAAAGCTCAAAGTTGGTAAAGGGCTACAAACATTGGAATGAAAATCAGCATGAAGTGGAAAGACATCAGGAAATCCAGTTGGCGGTGAGGCAGCTTTTGCAATCATTGAATCCACATACTTAGAGGGACTAGAGGCCCAATTAGAAATCATAGTTGCACTTGATTAGGATTTGGTGGAACCAAATTGGAATCATGAAAATGATTGCCTGACTCGATCCATTTGGCATTCAAGGGTTTCAAGTTAAGAGTTGCTTTGAAATGCTTGAAGCTTTAAAATTACTGACCTGTGTAATCATTACATACTTTTCATTTGAGTTTGAATTAGAGAGGACATCTAAGGAAGTTATTAGGACTGGATTAAAGCAATAACTTGTGGAGATCCACAAGCAAAATTTCAAAAAAAAAGTCTCAAATTTTTGAGAAAGTAAAACCTTGGAGGAAGGATCAGAAAGGTGAAGTGGATTATGGGAAAGACCATGAAAAGAAAAGGACCTCTTGAGATTAATATTTTTGTACGAGTTATTTCCTTGGAGTATGTGATAAGTATGCTGAAAATGCAATAAAAGTCTTCAACTTTCTTGAGAATCAAAGTTTCCCAATTAGAGATGGTGTCTTGTGCATACAAATTATTCTCCCAAATTTGATGAGCTGTGCTGAAGGGAACTCTAATTCCAGAAAGAGCATGACAAACCATGAATGCCAGCCCAAACTCACTTGAGTTTCTTAGATCCAGAGTTACCAATTTTTTTGTTCTATTTTCTGACCATGGGGGTGAAGTCGCTGTGCTTGATGAGTCCCTTTTTCTCTTCAGAGATTCAAGGTTTTCGTGCCTTTGAATTTGGCGAAAAAATTAAGCTTGAGGAAATAATAGAAATAATCACTTTGGAAAGGCTGTTTTGTTTTATTTTCTTGTCTGATACAAAAATACATCCAATCACAAAATTTTCTCATCTTCCACTAGAGAATGAAGTCAAGACATGGATTGTGAACTCTTTCTTTTTATGTTAAAATGGATTTATAGGTATGATCCAACTTATTGCATCCATGACAAATGATTTCTTTTTCACAATCTCTAGCAAGGTGATTTTTTCCTAGAGATTTGAACTAGATAGGCGAAGAATGTTTGCCTATGTACTGTTGGAGTATGTGGCTCTCAATACCCTTATCCGACCAAAGTAGGTCGATGGAATTCTTAGCTATTATGTCTTTTTCTTCTACGAGTTGCTTCCCATTCAAACCTTCTTGTTAATAGAATAATATTTCTGGTGCTGGTTAAGAAATAAGATTCTGTTTGCGTAAACTATCGTTTCCATTGCTTTCACTTATTCTAAAAACCATAATTTTATTCAATTCAAATATTTTCCAGTTTTCAATGGCAGTTATTTTGTATGAAGAAATAATCACATATTGGCTGAGGATTTGGATTTTAAGTAAAATTGTTATTTACTGCCGAACATGTCTCTGTTTCTGATAAAATTTGAAGCCTAACATAAGCCATGCCAAAACATACACATGATTGTCAGTTTTTTGTTCATCCATTTCCATTTTCTTTGAATTGGAGTTTTACAACAATGCCACATGCATCTGGTTTCTCTCATGCGTTGTTTGTGATATCTTGTAGGATTTCTTCGAAGATGTAGGCCCACTTTTGAGTATGCAGTTGGGCAGCTCCACATTGGATGGCCTTCTCAAAGTACTCAATTCCTATGTAAATTTACTAATTAATGCCTTACCAGGCTCAATGGAAGACGTCGAAAATTTGGAAGGTTCAGCAAATAAAATTGTTAGATTGGCAGAAACCGAAGTGCAACAGTTGGCTTTGTTGGCAAATGCATCTCTGTTAGCTGAAGAATTGCTCCCACGAGCAGCCGCCAAGCTCATTTCACATTACCAGACCAGTGTGGCAGATGATTCTCGCAAAAAAATGAGCGATAGACATAATCGGTTGCCAGAACAAAGGGAATGGAAGAGAAAATTGCAGCGCTCTGTTGACAGACTTAGAGATTCATTTTGCAGGCAGCATGCTCTAGATCTTATCTTCACAGAGGATGGTGAAACACATCTCAGCGCTGAAATGTACTTAAGGATGGATGATAGTCCTGAAGAACCAGAGTGGTCTCCCTCTCAAGTATTCCTGGTAATTATTATTCCAAGGCCATTTGCATACATACCGCCTAATTCCTTCGTATTTACATATCTAACATATAGATTTTGATTTTTTTACATTTATACCACCCAAATCTTTCATATCACATCAAAATACCACTTTTTTTTTTTTTCTTTTTTTTTTAAACTTTGAAATACACCTTTTCATGCATAGGTAAGGTGGTATTTGTGTAAAATTGAAGTTTAGGTGTTAGATGTGTAAATACATGAGAAATGATTGGTATGTATGTAAAGCTTCCTATTCCAAATGCATTTTCTTTTCCATGAGCAGAAGTGGTCTTGCTTTTAGCACTGCAAGTTTTTTAGTTAAATATCCGTAGATAAAATTGGTGCAAAATTTTGAAATTGTTAGTTATTGGATATATAAATCATGTGCTTTGAGGTTGTTCTGTCTTTTAAATAAATTTTGTTTGCTGTAATTGTGCTAATGACATTGGTGCTTATGAGAGTAGGTTGTATTATCTAGTTATTTTAATTACTTAGTACAGCTTTTTTTTTCCTTACTGCTGCAAGTGGATTTAATTCTACCAGCACGAAGTACAAATTTGATTCCAACATTCTCTTCCACGGTGATTTGGACGTTTTGGGTCTAGCGATACTAATGAAACTTAGGCATAGATGCAAGTTGAAAGTGGAAGGTTTTGATTATCATGCTAGTAATTTATAATTTTAGCAAAACATTTTATTTAAAAAAGGACAGCAAGCATTTTTTTTAATTCCATAAAATACTGAAGCAGTTCATGAAATTTCATAAGCATTAGCAAATATACAAATTTAGCAACTAATCAAGTTCATGATTTAAAAGAAAACTCTGTAATGTATCTTTGCAAAATTGCAATTATCATGCAAAACAAACGACTAATCAATTTTAAAGATGATGATAATGCTAAAAATCACCTCAAAGGTAAGAATAGAGCTTCACGTTGATATTGGGAGTTTCTCCATGAAGTAGTAATCCACAAGTCCGTAACACTCGTAGAACTCACATAACAAGCACGCTTACAAGAGAGGAAAATTGAAGTTGTATTTCAGTATTTATTGTTCATTTATTTTTTACATGCTTTAGGTTCATAGTTATAACTTTCAAATGACCTCAAATAAGAAACTATATAAAATTTGTTGTAAGCTTCAATATATCCAATGTAAATTATTTGATTGATTTTTTTTCATAAAATCTAATCCTAGAAGTGCTTAACGCGCCAATTAAAATGGGAAGACTGTTAGGATAAACAAGGAGTTGTTGGTAGGGAAGAAGTGCGGGAGCATAAGATGAGACAATAATTGTTTAGGCTTTTAGCAATTAGTGGGAGTCATTAGGTGGCACTTCAGTGCAACATTATCTGGTAAATTTAAAATAATACAGGTGGTAGCGGAAGAGTAGTCGAAAAAAATAAATGCAGCGGAAATCCCTCTGATAATTTGCTGCTGTGAATTCACAAGGGAATGAAAACAAAGAGGAATCCACTGTACTTGTAACAAGTTTATGAAATAAAATTAAATTAGATTATATTCAAATTTAGGATACTGCCAGAACTTCCTAGAAGTTTTAACTTAGCTCCACCCCCAATTAGTTTCTTAAAAATTTTTTGTAGAAAATTTTTGTGAATTTAGATGGCATTATTGCCTTAGCTTTTGGTTTAAATTTCACATTTTTAGTGTTCCACAATAGACTTATTATTGCGATAGTTATTTGTTAGTGTTGATTTCTTAATATTTTATTTACCCATTTATTATTCTCCTGTATTTCATATCTAAATTTTTTTATTAAACTCTTTCTTTGTGATCAGGGGATTGCATATTCAGTATGGCGCATTTTTTATAGTTAGTAACTATTTGAATGTTGAATGAAATAATAGTAAAAAGTTGTTTTTAAGATGATATATACATGCAATATGCTTTTGATTGTGGTGAGTGATTAGATTTCTTTTGAGCTTACCAAATGTTACATTTGCTATCATAAGCTTCAAGTTCAGAAAAATGTTCACTGCTACAATAAAGTTAAACATTCAAAAAATCAGTGCAAATGATAATTAAATAGCTGTTTGATTAAACCTCCCTTAGAAATTTAGAAGCATATTGAAATCCATGCTGCAGCCAGAAAAGTTAGTTTATGCTTGATTTAGTAATATTCAATTACAAAAACAGACTAATAATTTCAATTTGAGGCATGGATAATCCTTTATCTTCCTTTTCTTTTTTAATTACTGATCTTTTTTCCATTGAGATTATGTAAAGTCTCATACAATATGGTTTTCTTTTTCATGTAAGTCTTGATCAATTCATGAGTTTTATTCATTCTCAGATTTCTTTCGAAATTTAGTGTTTTGATCACTTTAAATTTATCATTTGGAGTAAATTAAACATATCGTCTTATTTTTTGCATCGAAAGTGACAAATTTTTGCATGATGTAAAATGTGAGAAACTACTAATAATAATCTTTTGTCCATTCTTTGCATGTCTCATCTTAGGTTTGGATTGGCGAATCTCATTTCGGTAATATGGATATAACTTTTTCCAAAAATTTATAATCACCAATTGCATCATGTTAGAAAGAATTATATTGATCCATCACTCTTACAAAGGGGAAAACAAATGCATAATCAAGATAAAATGTCAATGCAATCATTTTTTACATATGCACCTTTGTTTATATATTAACAACCCATTCTTTTAAGGAACAACTTAAACCTTCCAATCATAAAAGTTGCATATAGTTCTTATAGGAAAATATAATAAATTGTTAAAAAAAAAAAAAACTAAATTTGCCATCCAAAACCATAAAATATTACTAAAAGTAAACTAAAATAAAAATAACACTGGCACTCAGATTGTCAATTTGTTTTTCTCAGCGGACACATAACTGCATTTTTCATGAATTTAAACATTAAATTTTGCTTATAATCTGTCGGGCTTTGAATGTTTGGCTTTGATGATTTGAGCACTTCAGATTACTGAAACAAATATAGGCATAACTTTTGTGCTTCCTTCAGAGCAGAATCATTGAAAACAAGCTTGTTGAATTAGTGCACATGATTCTTTTTCATACAACATTAGATATAAGTTAATGATCCAATAATACTTATGGTACAAAATGTGCATGCCTTCCTGGGAAAATTTTAAATGTGAATTCTCAAGGAGGAAATGTAAAGATTGAAGAATTTAAGATGGTGTTCAATTTATAATTTGAAGTTAAATCAAATATATTAAAAATCTGTGTGTTAAAAGTATTTCTAAAATTTTTAACTTGTGGGCATTCATCTTAATATTTAGCATGGTTTTATATGTTTTTTTCTTACATTCAAAAGTAAATCATTATTTATTTTCTTGGGTTATTTGAACTTATATGGTAACATTTTTCTAGCAGTCAACTTCTCATAGTAACTTGTGAACAATTTTTTTAAGGTTTAAACAAACCACTACTTTATTTCGTAATGTGAATTTAAGATATCTTCAATTCACCACTTTGGCCTACTTATAAATGTCATTATTAAAAGTAAGTTTAATGTGAACATTTTTTTTAATTATACAAATGACTAATGTATGCAATACAGCATGCTGCAAGCAAGGATATTGCTAACAAACCAATATTTTTCCTAATGAATACTAATTAATACACTATAACTAATTTGCAAAGCTGGAGATGTTTAAAAAGTGATATTTGTAAAATTCAATGAAGTTTTTGTTTTTTATCATGAAAAAATTAACAATTAAATTCTGTGTCTATGTTATGGACGGAGAAGCTCTTTATGCAAAACAAATCCAAATGGCATATATTTTAGTCTTGATGAGTTATACACTGTTGGTTTCAACCTAATAGAAGTAAATTTGAATTTCATAAATTTTTAAAGGCGATTATCAGTAGTATGTCCTTTGATTGTTCATACACAACTTGATGAAGTTATTTTTATAAATTTTTTGCAAAAGTAAATCTAAATCAGTTTGATTACTTATCATAGGAACAATTCTTATAGGTAGTCTTCAAAAATTGCTTGATTGATTCATTAGTTAAAATAAACCTGATTTTTCCAAGTTAACTTAAAAGAATTGATTCAATTTCTATCAAAAGTTCACGCTCACTTCTGATTCATGATCTGTTGCAATGTTAATTGCAAATTAGGACTATATTTGTGCATAGGCTTAGTATGAATATGTTTTTAGAAGAAGCATGTGCAAGCTCAACAAAAATTTGATGTAGAATCATCTTGTAGTTGTAAATATTTTTCGCCGTTTAGTTCACCATTAAAAGAATATTTATTACTTACAATTTTTCTTATAGCTTTGTAGTCAATCTTACAGGAATCTTGTGTTTGTTTCTGTTTGATGGATTTTAGATAAAATGATAATGATTTTTCTTGGAAATATTAAGTTTAAGTCTAGTAGTTCTAACAAAATGTTTGTAATATTTCTTATCCTCTAATATTTTGTATTAAGCTTTAATTCAGTATCTTTGGCAAATTGTATGGCAATTCATTCTTAATTTCCTTATTAAGACGTTTAGACAATATGTAATAATAATGCAATAATCTAAATATAAATAATTTTTGACTTCTATACGTTAATCCTTACACACCATTCAAAGAAAATGTAGTTATATTGTTTGTGTAGTTAAGTTGATTATGTAATTGGTCCATGTATATACTAAATGGTCAATATTGTTCATGCTTATATTCCATATTAGTTCATATAACAAAACTTCACCAACAACATCGAGAAAATCCCATGATTTTTTTTCTAGTTAATTAAACCTCATGGGATGTCGCGGGAGTGCTCTTGCTTCAGACACGGGGCTCAAATCGCGGCTCTCATGTGATCAGGCATGGCAGACCAAAAGTCTCATTTTTTCTTCTTTTTATGTTTTCTTTTCCTTGATCCTTCATTCCTTTTTATTCCTTTTATATATATATATATA